AAACCAGATGACAGGGAGGCCACATATTCTTACAAGCTGCTGCTAATTTTACTGCAGCACAAAAGAGAAAAAGTAATAAAAGGATTTCGCCAAGAGACGCATAATTGTGATTACTGCAATTATGGCGATCGCAGCTTAGCAATACAGATGTTATATAATACGTGCGCCGCCCTAGTCCTTGGACCTTAGACATTCATGCATGTGCACCCTGCTAGTGTTCATTTAAGTTGTGCTCCTGGTACACTGGGTGTGTCCTCGTGTCATTTGTGGTTATGCAATAATGGCAGAACAAAATCCAACCAACCCGTCCTCCGCAGAATTCTCTGTTCCAAAAATGTGTGTACCTGATTCTGCAGTTCAGTCATGACACATTGCATGCTCGTGTGTGCTGTGAAGACCTTATCAGGCAATGTTGGATCTATTTGATGCGTAAAACCACAACTTTTTCACTGCTATCTGTTCCCCCGAGGCACGGAAACACTTAGTGAAAACCTGGCACTTAAAACACTGAACACACACACACAGAGCGATACAACATACACTCTGTCAAACACATGCTGGATCGATTAGCATTTTTGAGGCCACAGAGAAACGAGAGAGAGAGCACAAAGGTTATTAGAGGCATGTTTTATACTCTCCTAGAATCATTGTACAAATCTTCCCCCATTGTTGGCTTAAATATCCAGCGTTTTTAATGTTTTTTATTAAACGTAGGGTGAGGGCAAGTCATTTAAAACTCTAAACACTCACAAAAAGCCACAAATGACATAATCACGATAATGAGTACATAAACTAACCGCTCCCCAATACATTCCTACACTGTTTCCTGTCAGGCTGTTTATCTTTCAGATTGATTTTCAACACAGGTGATGGTTTGCAGATTTTGTACTTGCCTTGATTCCTTGTAACCTGAGACAGCACCACTTTCATCATAAATAAAAGTCCGTGGATATAATGACAACTGTCATTGGCCGATCTCATTGGCTGTAGCTCACAAATTCAGCGTACGTTAGCGGCGCCATGCGTCGGTACAAAGCGCAGTCTACAGATGCCTTTTTAATGCCTCCAGCTGACTTGTTTAAAAACAGGACTCTTTTAAAAGTGTGCTTGATGACACGCTAAAGACTGACACAGACTAAAGCTAACATGCTCAAGCTGACACATGTGATTTTCATAACACAGGCATCTACCACTGTCAATTTAGTTTAAGAAAACTAAAATGGAGTTCCTTTGAAGTTTGTAGCCAAATGTTGCTCAGAGCTCGTTCCTGTCCTGCGTTTCTCTCCAGAGAGGTCACTCCTGCACACCTGTTCTGTTTAGAGTTCCCTTTGAAGCAGAGTGGAGTTGTGTGAGAGCGGCTGATGCTCCTCTGGGGATTGTTATTACTTCAACATCACCAGAATTTAATAGAAAATCTGCAATTAAGCCGTTCAGAGTATTTAATGTTGAGTTAAAAGTTGTCCGAGACATTGGTTATTGTTAGACTGTGAAAGTCAAAAATAGATAAATGAAGGCCTACTATATATGTGTCAACATCCAGAAGCTGACAGTAGTGGTGTGGTTCAGGAGCACCCCAGTTGACTGTTGTAGCCTTAGTTGACTTTCCTTCTAAAATATTTCAGGACACAGCAAGCTGTGTGTGTCTGTTTGTGTTTGTGTGTGTGTGTGTGCGCGTGTGTGCGTGTCTATCTCAGCCCTGGAGGAAGGGAGTCAATCACAGCAGCAGAAATCATCCCTGCAGGCGATCTGTCTCCACTCATGACAAGGCTCCTAAGGCACTTATCTTTCCTTCCTTGACTCATTCCATCCATCCCTCAGCCCTCCCTCTATCTCCCCCCCCCCCCCCCCCCCCCCCCCCCCCCC